TTAAAAATAATAACTAAAATACTAAGGGACTTTGTATTATTTACCTAACCAGTTCCTTCCTATTTTCTATATATTTTCACACACACACACACACACACACACACACACACACACACACACACACACACACACATATATATATATATAAATATATATATATATATATAACATTAGTTGAAATTGCTATTCTCATGAGGTAATTTTGAATCTCTCTATTATGTAACTTATATGATCTGTTATAATAAATACATTGAGCTCTTTTTGTGGATCTATTTTAATATATTATATTATTAGTATACACTTGGATTATATACCAATGGATTATTACCTGTACTATATATATATATATATATATATATATATATATATATATAGTACAAGTAATAATATATATAAAGTGTGTTCCAATAACTTGGACCGATTTAAAATCGGTGCAAGTTATTGGAACACCCTTCATGTGTTTTTCAAGTATGTATAAAATAGTAAGATTAAAAGCTATAAAAAGGCTAAAAGCTTGAAATATAAAATAAACTGAGGGCTCAATGCCAAACTCAACAGAGCCTAAGTATAATATAATAATATTAGTAATACCAAATCTGCTACTCAGAGTTTTATGAAACAACAATCATCAGCCGGAACTCTTGCTATATGAAACTCTGACTAACGGAATTTGGTATTGCTAATATTATTATATTATATTATATATATATATATATATATATATTATACACGTTTCATTAAATAATATAGGCAAGTGTTGTCTATTTATTTTATGTAAACTCTTTTCATAACGTCTCATAAGTTTAATAACATTATAATTGAACGAAGAAAGAAATTCGCAATATTGATACATATTTTTTTAATACAATCTAAGCTTTCGGCTTACATAAGCCATTATCAAAGATGTTAATTACAACACATTAAGCAATATACAGACAAGACAGTGATGACAGTCTGTGAATGTTTACATAGATGATCTTTAAGCAACGATAAACACATGCATATAAGACGCTAGAAGCGAAAATCGCACCGCATCTCATGACGTCACACATGACCAAGCGATTTTTAATTGGAGAAGTATGAAGTATGGAAATCCGTTGGCACAAACCAATGGCCTCCGTCACCAACTACAGACATTTAAGGATATTTGTAGAGATTCCATAGTTGATTTTGTTTAGGTTGGGTTTCAACTGTTTAATGTATAATGCTTCAAGGATTTTTAGTTTTTGTCTATTGTTTTCATGTCGAAGTATAATCGTGTTTTCGACAAGTATTTTATGGAATTGTGTGTGCGGGCAGGCATGTTGTTTTAAATGCCTAAAAATGTTAGAGTTTTCATTCCAATGTAGTGTCAAGCGTAGTATATTACACCGAAAACATGTCAAAATCGCTGTTCAGTTGCCATCGTGTTTCGATGCGTGTCAATGCATCTCATCAGACGATTGTAAATTTAAAATCGCCCTGATGAGATCCGTTGATGCGTATGGAAACACGACTGCAATTGTGTAACGATTTTGACACGTTTTCGGTGTAATATTCTAAAGTAAATAATATTTGTCTACTTTGCATTGAGCCCTCTTTTAAATTAAATGTTACGAACGTTGAAATTGTACTCTATTCGTTCTCATCTTTCATATATATATATATATATATATATATATATATATATATATATATATATATATATATAGTCAGCAATTAATAGATTAAGCGGATCCTCGTATTAAAAAAGGAATACGAGTTCGATTCCCAACAGAAGGCACGTTTTCTTTATTAAAACTTTCGCTCTCTGGGCAGATGACCATTAATTTCACTGTTTAAAAAAATATCTACTCACACAGGTTTATACGATCATTATATACGAAATAACGTATAGCATCTCGCAAGTTCGATTCTTGAGATAATTGGCAGCTCTGCAAGAGTATGCTGAACAACACCAAATCCTCAATCCCTCCTCTATTCAATCCGTTCGAAGTCTTGACATCTACAGCAGATAAGGGTGAATGATTTACCCATAATTCTCTTCCAACTCAACAAACGTTTCATTTGGAGCCCTCACACCTGATTTCCCCACTAGAACAGAGGCTCTACTGAGTGATATTCACATAACCCCGTCACTGTTCTCAGACATCATTTCTAAATTAGACTCCTATAAGGCAAACCGTGTTGACGTAATCCCAGCCGTCGTCCTAAAGAAACGTTCTTCTGAACAGCCCCCAGGTTTCCCCAAACTTTACAACTATTGCCTCGCTGCTTCCGGATTTACAGCTTTCCAGTTCTCTTCTGTAGTTTCTGGTTTTAAGAACTCTGGAGTACCTTCTAACCTATCGCCCTATTAGTCCCCTACCGCTTGTCGGCAAATTATTCCAGACCTTAATCAATGCAGAAATGGTTAAGCATCGAACCTCCCACAACCCACTGTCTAACAAACAATATGGTTTCCGTTTTACCAGTTCTACTATTGATGTGCTAACGGCCCTCACTGAATATGTATATCAAGCTCTTGATAATAATAGTGAAGCTCTAACTGTGGCTCTAGGTATCTCAAAGGCGTTTGACAGGGTTTGAAACGCTGGTCTTCTTATATTAGCTCCAGGGCTACGTTATTACAGGACGATTGTTTGATTTAATCTAACCATTTCTATCAAATCGTGAAATGAAGGTCGTCTTGAAAGGGTTCTCTTCCAGTTTCTTTCATACGAACGCTGGTGTTCCCCAAGGCTCCATCCTGGATCCTACGCTGTTTCTGATCTTCATCAATGATCTTTCTGATGTTATTAGTTCTCAAGTAAGTATCAACGCAGACGACACTACCATTTACTCCTGTCTCAATAGTAATCCGGCATTGTTGACAAAGTTAACCTGACCGTTGGTCACGAAAAGGACCTCCAAACTGGTTGACTAGGGCAGGAAATGGCTTGTAAATTCTAATGCCTCTAAAACGAAAGTGCTCTCATTTGAGCACCATAGAGAAAATTCCCTGTCCACCATAAGCATGCCTGATGTTAGACTCTTGGAGAGCAACACACTGCGCCTTCTTGGCCTGACGTTTTCAACAGACTTGAAGTGGAACGACTTCATCGAATCTATAGCTGCATCTACTGCAAGGAATATTGGGTCACTGTGTTGAGCCTGAAAGTTTTTCCCGTCAGAGTCCATCTTGTACATTACAAATCTTACAAAGCTACCATTCATCCATGCATTGAATACTGTTGCCATATCTGGTCTGGTTCTCCAGTTATTCATCTCTGGGTTCTTGACAAAATCCAAAGAAGGATCTGAAGTCACTTTCTCACATGGCTTCACTGTTTTTTCTACAAATATTTTCATGGTAGCTGCTCTGACGAGTCTTTTGTTCCCTTGGTGCTCCGATTTCATGAATTTATACATGCTACTAGATTGGCATCTAGGTCCCACACTTTTACTGTGGAAAAGTTAAATGTAGCCGCCACTTCTACCTCAACAGTTTATTTTCTCGCACTCCCCGACTGTGGAACTCCCTTCCGTTTATTTGCTTACCTGATAATTATAATTTAAACGCACCGTCAATCGTCATCATCTATCTTCTTGAATCCCGTTCATCTTTTATTCTTTCCTCAATCCCCTCTGTACACAGTCTTTTCTCTCAGTTTCACTCTCTAACCTCCTACGTACTAGTGGCATTCTCGCTTTGGTTGGAGTGAAATGATCATTTATATATATATATATATATATATATATATATATATATATATATATATAGTTAAAATTTTGCATATTCATAGGTGAAACGTACTCAGTGCTTTTATAGATATAGACATATTTATATACCAATCTACACAATGCTGCATGATATCTCATTTCTGTGCAATCTTCAGACTCTCTCTATATATTAAAATGTCTTAAATAATTGTCGGACTTTGTCCATTTCATAATGTGTAACGTCATTCGTTTACATTTGGATACGCATCGAGCAGATATGAATGTACGAGAGAAAATCATGGAGAATTGTAGTTTAAAAACAGTAAAATCAATCTTGTTAACCGAAACGCTCCTCTGTGGCTAAATCGGTAAAGCTCGTCAGGCTATATCCGTGTAGGATACAGGTTCGATTCCTGTGGGAGGACGCATATTTTCTATGAAAATTTCTCGGACATTCATGCCGGTAAATGTCGATAATACTGTTTATCATAAACAGAGCATTTACTTAAATATTTGTATCTATAAAAAGAAAGATAAAAACATAAAAATGTCTTCATATATATATATATATATATATATATATATATATATATATATAGAGAGAGAGAGAGAGAGAGAGAGAGAGAGAGAGACAGAGACAGAGACAGAGAGAGACAGAGAGGAGACAGACAGACAGACAGAGGCTGGGAGTTGGAAAGAAAGATTTTAGAATAAGCGATGTTGATAGAAACAGACAGACAGACAGATACAAAGAGCGATTTATATATATTTAAAATAAAAAAAAAGCTAAGAAGAATGATAAAACAAACCCAAAAAAGAATGGTTTATAAAAAGAAAATGTTTAAGAAAGACGTAATAGAATGCAATAGAATTTGTCCATCGAGCGTTTTCTTCCCCGCCTCCGGCCGACCAGTCAACTCATGACTAACTGATCGGACCGGATTAAATTTTACAAAAATACAATCAGGGTAGAAGGAGATAATCCGTAGGATTAATTAAGTGAAAAAGGCCATAAGTAGTAAATACTTAGTGAAATCCTCCCAAAATATAAAAAGAAACAAAAAGATTAAAGATTTAAAAAGAAAAAAAAATTGAATTTATTCAATAGAGACATTCACTAATACGACTGTTTCTCTCAGTATCTCAGTATCTATCTATCTAAGTTTGTTCTTATCCATTTTATACTAGTTCCATATACAGTATATCGACCTGTTCATATGCATTTCAGTCTATTTCTTTTGGTTCTTTCTTTCTCTCTTTTTCAGTCTGTTCGTATCGATCTGTATGAAGCTTAACTTAGTTTATTCTCAATCTCTCAATTATTCCATCTCGGAAAAGGAAAAGACTGACAGTGAGAGAGAGAGAGAGGGGTGTAAGAGAGAACATGGAAAGTGTGGGGGATGAAAGATAAAGAGAAACAGGAAGAGAGGTAAGAAGAAGAAGAAAAATAGATAGAAAAAAGCGAAAGAGAAACTAAAACTTAAAGAGAGAGGTGTTTAGAGGAAGAGTAAGATAATAATAAGATTATTAATAATAATAATAATAAAAAGACCACAAACAAAAACGGTGCCTCCTTGTTGATATGGCAATCCCTGCTGACTGCAATGTATCTTTGATATCTAGATATACAAAAAGCTGTCAAAATACAAGGACCTTGAAATAGAAATCTTGAAAATGTGGCATATGGGAACATCAACAATCCCTGTTGTAGTTGGAGCCCTAGGACTGGTTAGAAAAGTCCTGCAGTAGACTAATTGAAGGGATTCTAAAAAGTCCATGCCTCAAGGAGATATACAAAAAATTGTTCTGACAAGTACAGTAAAGCCCACACTTTACGAAGGGGGCTTTATCAATGTTTTTTTTTTTTGTCAGTGTAAAGTGTCATGATGCCATTTCTAACCTTAGGTCCAACAAGGGACCCGGAAAGAAATGTAAACGCCAGAAATCAAAGAAAATAAAAATAAAAATAATAATAATAATAATATCTTGGGAGGACAAGGCTTTGCATAAAGAAAGATAGAAAGAAGAGGATGTGGACCAACAGAAAACAGATCAGAGTGGCTGAGGAGCACCGGGTTTAAAGCTGAGACAGAAGGCCTGATTATTGCAGCTCAGGACCAAAACCTCGCAACCAGATCTTAACACTGTCACATAATCAAGGATGGAACTAACCCGAAATGCAGGCTCTGTGGAAGATATGCTGAAACTGTCGACCATATTATCTCAGGATGTCCGAAACTAGCAAAAAATGAATATACCCACATACATAACAAGGTAGCGACATAGTGCACTGGAAGATATGCAAGAAGCACAAAATCGAAATCACTCAGAGATGGTATAAGCACCAAACCGACACAGTTATCCAAAATAACGATGTAACTATCCTCTGGGACATGCCAATTCAAACTGACAGGGAAATAAAAGACAACAGATCTGAAGAATAAAAGGAAAGAAATTCAGCAAGTATATACTTATTGACATAGCGGTACCATCTGAGAGAAATACCTCCATAAAAATTATCGAGAAATTGTCCAAATACAAGGACCTGGAGATCGAGATTAACAGGATGTGGGGAATGAAGACTGAGACGGTACCAATAGTAATCGAAGCTCTGGACTTCGTGAGAAAAAGAAAAGACAAATTTACTAACAGTGTCCCAAGTAACATTAACATACAAGTTTCCCTGAAGATCGTCGTATTAGGAACATCCCATATACTAAGAAAAGTGCTATCAATTAAATAACAATTCTCTTATAGGACCATAGTTTGGACCCGGCTCTACAGGATACAAAGCAGGAAACATTACATATACAAATAATAATAATAATAATAATGGTAGATATGAGATATATGCAGAAATCGGAAAGAAAAAAAGAGTTAAAAAAGAAAGAGACAGGAATGCAAGAAGCCAGAGAGTCGTAAAGAGACAGAGAGAAAGAGAGAGTTAGAGAGATGGCTACGTAAGAGAGATTGAAATAGAGTAAAACGAGATAGAGAGAAAGACAAACAGAAAGATATATAATGAACTGAGATAGACAGATAGACAGACAGACAGACGGATAGATAGATAGATAGATAGATAGATAGATAGATAGATAGTGACCAGTGTTAATCTACCTAGATGTGAAATATTACCCATCAGTAGCACTGATACCTGGATATTTAATAGTGGAGAGGGCCTGTCTGCCTGTAAAATTAGCATTTGAAATCCTCGTTTTTTTTCCCTCTGGATTCGAGTACAGTTTGATTATCACATGGCACGGAGGAGTACGTGCATGTTACACTTCCAATTTCTGACCTTTGAAATAGCAGGCTGCCTTTATGAATTGAAATCAATCACAATTAGTAATCATGCAATAATTTCCAGGAGAGACATTTCCATGTCGTCGCACGAACCATCTCCTATTCTTTGATTATACTACATCAGCTGTTTGTGAACAGTGGTAAAGCATTTCTACTTATCTTTTGTGTCATTTTTTTTTAAAATTAAAACCTACTGACGTTTTCCTCGAGTCACAAAATACAGGAAGTGTCTAAAGATTGGATAAATTAGGTAGTTTCTGTTTTTTTTTTCTTTTTTTAAAATCAGAATCAGCCCAAGCAAGGCAATAATGCCATTAAGACCCAAGAAGTTATCGGCCGTGGAAGAATTAGTAACAGAAACGTTAATGACGAGCAGAAAGAATGAATGGTGTGACGAGCACCAGGTCATGTCTGTTGAACTCTCTGCTTTGGCAGAGAGGAACCCGGACGAAGCTTTGCCGAAGGGCAAGGTTTCCTCCGGGGAGGTAGACAGGGTCTGAACCCGTCTAGGCGGGTTCAAAGGGTATATTTTTGGCCGAGCCTACAGGCTCGGAGAACCCACTTTAATCTCTGCCTCGTGCCACATATATTCCTCATGGGTGGGATATTAAATACAATGACGAGCAGAAAGAGAAGAGAGTAATCAAGTGGACAGTAGATAGCAATAGATATTGCATTTAAATTTTTGCAGATTAAAGTTAGCTGGAAAGCATGGAGCCGAAAGAGACTTCCACAAGCGAGAAGTGCGAGGGAAGAAACTGTTAGCATAGAACTTACGGTTACATCTTTCCAGCTCAACTGTAAATTGATGATATCTCGACGTCAGTCAAGTATTGCACTTAAATTCAAAAAGTCTAGGTAACATAGTGAATAGTTCATCCGAACAATTGCCTTGAAAGTATTTATTGAAAAGACATAGAGGGGCAGCCCTACGGCTGTGGGAAAGTGAGTGGAGCCGAGATGCCAGGTCAAGACCAATAATATTGAAGATTCTTCTTTGGAACTTATCAAGGAGCTCAAAGTAAATATCCCGGACACCTGACCATGTGTTGAAGCGATATTCTAAGCATGGGGCTGTTGGGTTAGGAGTTTTCTAACGTAACCATCGTGTAACTGGGGTAAATAACTCATCCAAATCAACTTATACAATCATCTGAGGATCACGTAACGATTGCAATCATATCCAAAGTCTATGGTTTAGGAGATGTGAGTAGAAATTCTAACAAACCCCTCTTTGAACGTTCCTTTATTTTTAGAGCAGTAACCACAATCACAGAAGTTAAGCAACGCCGAGCCTGGTCAGTGGCTCGATGTGTAACTGCTTGGGAGTTTCAGGTTCTGTTAGGTTGGATGTGCGGGTGGTGTAATGGATAATTACAGATAATTACAGAGAGAGAGTCGAGTTCCATTTCTAGTTTGGTTCGTTATAATAATTTACGCGCAAATACCATTGGGAAGGCATGAATCCATCTATTCTCTCCCCAGTTATGGATTAATTAGTAAAACTTGTATTACTAAAACCATTATTATCCCCCCCTGCGCCGAATATTAATTTAAATTTTGGCATTAAATAACCCATAGATTTGTTGATATTGCCGCTAAATACAACCAACACACATTTTTCATTAAAATTTCGATTTTTTAAAAAAAATCATTCACTAGTTTTTCTTTTCTGTTTTGATTATTTCGACAAGAAATAAATTCAACAACGCTTTAAAATTGCTAACAAGTCAGATAGGAACAAATTGAAATAACTTGCTTGATAAGATATGAACAAACACCGACAGATATATATGAATAAACTGCAATAGATAGCCCGGTTGGTTGTTTTTGTTTAACGGCATATCAACACCTCTATGGGTTATTTAATGCCGAAATATAAATAATTTGCATACAATTCTATGCTTTCAACTACAAACATTTTGTACATAATTTTACACATCAGGGTAAAATATATTGTTTTATAAAGAGTGTTCCAATAACTTGGACCGATCTTAAATGTGTATTAAGTTTAAGCGTCTAATGATTTTTTTCTTTTTTTTCAGATTTAACAACTTAATTCTTTGCCAATTTAAACCATGGAAAGATTAACAATCAAACAACGTGTTAAAGTTATCGAAGCCTATTACGAAAATGGACGTTGAAACAGAAATGCATTTCGCCCACCTTGCGATTTTTTTTGGTCAACATAATCGACCAACCGACAGTGTAATTGGAAACGATGTAACGTTGTTCTGGAGAGGTTCAATTCCTGAGCGCGATGACGAATAGAGGGGTCTGGATTTTCGGTTGCATTCTCGTGCACTACAGCAGTGTTTTCAGCTGAACGGCGTAAACGAGCATGCAATGGTGTTTTCACATCTGCCACTGACACAGTTTGTTTGAATTTACGAGCAATTTTTCCTATTGCACTCTTGAAACTTTAACACGTTTTTTGATTGTTAATCTTTCTATGATTGAAATTGCCAAAGACTTAAGTTGTTAAATCTGAAAGAAAAAGGAAAAATCATTAGACGCTTAAACAACTTAATTCACATTTAAAATCTGTGTAAGTTATGGAACAACCATTATATAGAGTTCGTAGATGACAAAAATACATTGACAGTAATTTTACTATAAAATCTATTTTTATACATTTTAGTGTTGCATTGTATGTCATTTTACCATTTAAATGTATTGCTGGTGATTTCTTTTCTAAAAATTTATTGCTGCTATTTTCACTATAAAAATTGTATTTTTATACTGTCATAGTGTTTTTATTTTTGTATAAGGTGTTCACTATTTGACCATAACTGGGACCTTACAGGTGCTACTATCCCGGGTCAGGGTGAACCGACAAAGATAGTTAAATAGAAACAGAACAAGATAGATAGATAGATAGATAGATAGATAGATAGATAGATAGATAGATAACCCGAATGAGATAGATAGACAGAGAGACAGATAGACATAACCAAACAGCGACTGATAGATATAACCAAACTGAGATATAGATAGACATGAACAGACTGAGATAGATATATAGATAGAAACATAGATAGATAGATAGATAGATATACATAACCAAACAGCAACAGATAGATATGATCTGACTGAGATAGACAGACAGATAGATAGATAGATAGATAGATAGATAGATAGATAGATAGATAGATAGATAGATAGAAAGAGAATTTGCACGATAACTGAATACCTTTTGTCAGACTAATTCGAGCATTGTAAATAAAAAACAAAACAAAACAAATGTGAGTTATTCTATTTATTTTATCGACGATTTTCTTTATGTTTTTTTTTTTTACGACAACTTTTTGACCGATATATTTCTTTTGGGATTATATTGCAAATGGTCTTTAGAATTCCCTCAAAAGTTCCAGTGTTCGGATGTAAGATCCGACCAAAAAAGGTCGAACAAGGTATCAGATAATATATTCAGTTAAAGGAGAAACTAACAAACGCACAACATATGGCGCAAAGAGGCCCCCATGGCTCAACATATGGCACAAAGAAATGCGCCACCTTCGAAAAATAAAACAAACCTCCATGAGTGTCAAATTATAAGTTAGAACACGGTCGGAGCAAGTGCTTGAGATCGATTCCGGAAAGGATACAATTTAGTTTCTAGAATGCGACATACATTGAATAATTTCAGTTGCTGCAAATTATTCTTTGTTCCTATTTTCGCGTTTCTGTCGCAGTTGTTTGTTTTTTTTTTTTCATACACTGAGAGGAAACTCGGAGCGTGTAAGGACAGCGGATACTAAATTTAAAAAAAAAAATTTCTGGCGTTCATAATGTCTAGACTCAACAGCGATAAAAAAAAAAAAAAAAAAAAACGAAAGCAAAAAGCCGTGGGAAATGGAACGAAATTGGCTGGCCGTTTCACTTTAAACAACGTCAGACGCCAGAAAATTGTAAAATTCTTAATTTGCGTCCGACCATCTTCAACGTTTCCTCACGATGCATAATTATAATCGACAATTTTTAAATATTTTCCTACCCTCCACACACACACACACACACACACACACACATACACACAGATATATATAGAGAGAGAGATATAGATATATTTAGTTGGCCTGATGTGAGTTTAGGACCGTTGAGATTTCACGCCCTTGCGATCGTCAGGTTTGTCTGACGATTGCAAGGGCGAGAAACCCAGGGTCACAAATTCACATCACTCCAACTAAATATTTTAGCTCTATCACTGATATTGAGCGCTTTTAAATTAGTATCACGCATATACAATATATAAATAACATATATAAGATTACACACACACACACACACATATATATATTCATATTCTATATATGTATTATATATATACATATTATTATATATATATATATATATATATATATATATATATATATATATATATGCATATATATATATATATATATATATATATATATATATATATATATATATATATATATATATGTTTCATTAAAGACGACAGACAAGATACTGCAATTAAGCTTTTTATTTAGTATTTCTTTGTGTTCGGACAAGTATTTTCTTTTCTGGACACAGAGTGTGTAGAAACTGTCCAAATGCTCTGTAATTCCGAGCGCTTTCGGCAATACATTTAGCCGTTATCAAGGATGGTTTTATGTTTACTTCTTAACTGGGTGTATGGGTTGTGTGTATGTTTCTAGCGTTCTAGGTGTGTGTTTAAATGGTTTCTAAAGAAGCTGTTGTCGGATAGGTGTAACGTAATATTTTCTACAAACTCTGTGTCCAGAAAGGAAAAACTTGTTCGAACACAAGAAAAATTAAATAAAAAGCTTAATCAGAGTACCTTGTCTGTCGTCTTTAAAGAAACATTTATAAATGAGGGATGCACTTTTTCATGTCACCAATATTTAGATGCTTTAATATACAGTGCATCAACCTTCTTAAAAGTAAACCTAGCAACGTGAGACAAGGAAGACGCAATGAATTGCTCTCCTGGAGGTTAACATCAGCCATGCTGATGGGGGGTAAGATGGTTCTTTATGACGATTAAAGGATAGTAGTTTCGTTGGCATCAAAATTTACAAGTCATTTCTTGCCCCAGTTAACAACCAACTGGAAGTCATTTTCGAGAGTAGCTGTCATTTTTATTTTATCAGACCTATCGGACTAATTAAGACAGGAATAAATAGTTGGGCCATCAGAATTTGCATTAAATATCACTCAAGTAATATGCATATAATAATCAAGTATTGCCTTTAAAAAAAAAAGTCACTAACCTCCTGTATATATTTGTAACACGTTTTCCTCTCAAAATCAGAAATTCTATGACAGTATTTTTTTTTTTTGGCATTTTGTGTGCCCTCAGAATGGCAACCATTTTGAAAGGGAATTATGGTTATTAAAAGAGAATTCGAATTCCAGTCGAAACCATTACATTCCCTTACGTGCTAATACCCTTGGGAAAGGTATGAATCCTTGTCTTCTCCCCCCAGTATTGCTGCCAATTTATGGTCTAGAGCCTCTTCTGTTTGCCTCGGGGTTCTTGATAAGATCCAGAGAGGGATATGCAATGTAATTGGCCCTGATCTGGCATCTCGTCTACAGTCGCTCTCTCACAGACGCGCCGTCGCCTCTATGGCAATTGCTCCGATGAGCTGCATTCGCTGGTTCCCAGACTTCATGAGTTCAAGCGCCCTACGAGGCTGGCATCCCACTCTCACCCTTTCACTGTCGAAACTCCTAAATGTAGCCGTCTCTTCTACTACAATAGCTTCATGTCTCGCACCTCTCACCTGTGGAACTCCCTTCCCTATTCCAGTTTCCCTGAGAGCTATAATCTCCAGCTATTCAAATGTAATGTCAATCGACATCTTCAGTTGCCTTGATCTATCCACTATCGTTCTCCTCATCCTTTCTTCTATCACTCCTATCTGATCTTGCTCCAAATTTTCTGTAACCCCTTGCGTCCTAGTGGCTTCCCGCCTTGCTTGGGATGAAACGCTTAAATAAAATATTAAATAAAATAGCAGGACAGACCGGGTTCTATAGCCTTGGATAGCAGCTGGTCTACCGCTAAAAGAAATGGCAACCTACTGCGGGAAAAAATCTAGCCAGTCATGTATCGAAAGATACATGATCGTTTAAGCGTGTATCACGCATAGCACATAACTGACTGACTGAACTGCATGAGATTTTCCCCCATGTTTTCATGTACTTCTTAGTTTTTAACTAATAAATTTCTTCGGTATATTTTTGAAATTAAATAACAACAGACGTTACTTTTTGACTAAAACTAGTGAAATGAAAAAGTAAGTGAACAAAAGATATGCTTAAATATGAGAATATTATAATTAATATGATTCATAAAATAAGCGATGACAGAATCTAATCTAAAAAATAAATAAATATTTAAAAATTCATTTTTAAAGCGATGATCACAATTGTAAATAGAATATGCGAAAATAACACAAATATCAACAAAGAAACAAAACTAACAATTGGAAAATTTTACGAAAAAAAAATCCATTTAATTGACAAGCGATGCATGAACACATTTGCATTTTATTTATTTTTTCCAAGTAAAATGCAACGGGTTCGTTTTCTGTTTACGTCCTATAGAATGCAAGATGTCATTCGTCCGATCTCTTTGTCTGACATCATTTTTCTCCCTTTTCTTTCGTCGCGATCACAGATGACTAACCATGACGAAAATGGCATCCGAGAAAAGACGACTAAATAAATAAGATACAAAGAACAGATAATTGCAGAATATTTAAGCTTAGTTTCATTATAAATCTAATTTGAAATGCAATTTTCTCTTCACTGGCAATGCGTAAACGTTATTTTATCAATGTCTAGTTTGTTCGATTTCAACGTTCATTCTTTGCCTCTGCGTAATATTCAATAAAGAGACGACCATTACAAATTTGATCTGTATATGCGGTAATTCATACCTCAACCGGGAAAATGTAATATAGTAATTTACTAAGCGTAGTTTAGATGTGACACAAGTCAAAAGTATGGGGCTCCCAGTGAGGGAAAATGTAATATAAATTGATGAGAGAGGTCTGATCGGATGAATTGAAAAAAGTATATACAGAGTGCGATGGATAAATTGTCGTCTAAATTACGCAAAAATGAAAATACCTCTGACATCTTATCTTAACAGATATATTTACCAAAATTACACAAAAATATCTTTAGATACTAAAGAGTAAATTTATTCAATAAAATCGCCATTGGCTTCAACCACGGCCACCAGACGATTTCGGAATCTCCTGCATTTCTTCTGGACGGTCTCCTTGTTTAAGTTGGTTAATGCTGCCATAATCCTTGCCTTCAGTTCATCTTTGGTGCTACAACGAGCTCTGTTGGTTTCTCGCTCAACTGTGCCCCAATGGGGGTTTCAGTCTGGAGAGTTAAGTAGCCACATATAAATGGTGATGTGGTCGCAGAAATTGTCTGACAGCCATGACTGGGCCATTCTGCTTGTATGGCATGATGCAGGGACCTGTTGCCAAACATAGGTTCTTCAACAAATTCGGTAGTTCTTTTCTCATCAGAACGATCACATTGAGTCTTCCGAGCTGCCGTGCCTTCGTAATCACCATTAGACTCATCCAACTCTTTCCTCCGCACTGTCCTCAGATTACCACCCAAATACTCTTAAATATTCGTATTGGAGCTTCCGGCTCGAATGCCAAGCAGTACAACATGCCGTTTCCATATTTCTGGCGGAGTGAATTGCGTCATGCTGCTCTTTTTCTTACAGACGGTGCCCAACTGACCCTACTATACTGTGCAATGGACAACATAAAAAACAAACGCGCATGCGCAAAATTAAAAATATAAAATGGCGACAATTTACCCATCGCACCCTGTATATATATCCGTTGTGGCTGGTCGTTCTTAAAGCTAACCCGGACTATACGAACTCCCTGTTCAGTCGTAATTGATCATCGAGACAAGCATCTACGTCGAAGTGTCAGAATACATTGACTTATGCTTCCTGCAATCAAATGGCTTTATTTTAATAACAAACAAAAAAGAACATCGATTTTGCTGCAAAAAATCACTCATTAAAATAAATTGCTTGATGGACCCCTCTGTGATCAACAGCCCGTCTGGGATCAAGAGATCCTTTGGGATCAAGTGCCATGAGAGGTTTAGTTAAATTAGTTTCACAGTAGATCCGCCACTGAACATATTTCGACTAAGTATAAAGTTTATTGTCATGAGAAATAATGTCGGATTAAAAAGAATTCATTAATTAACGAGTAATGTTCTCTGGAATGAAAGTTCATATTTCATTTGCATTGTTTTACAGGGTGCGGTAGAAATACCTCATCCATATCATCATCATTTATTCAGTTAGCGCAGTCTGTGCCGTTGTGGTCACCAATTCCCTTAATCTCACAATTGGGGTTCATGGTGGCATTCAAAGCAGAATATTGCAATGGCTTGCCGGTTCCTTTTGCATCGGCGATGTTGAGGTTACCATGTCCCTCCTCTCAGAAGTAAAAAGAGACAGGACCTACAAGGCAGCAGTTTGTTTGAATTCGGAGTTTTTCTTTTCCTA